TTCATCTTATAGTTTTTCATATTTCATTTGCACAACCTCTAGAACCTCCTAAATGAATATCAAAAGTTTTGGAGGTAAATGTTTATATTTTATTTTTAATTTTTTCTACCATATCAATAACTAGCTATTATCATAAACATAAAATGCAATGACATAACTAAAATTAGAAAAAAGAAAAAAAAACAACCTTTTAAATATTTTAGAATATCTTTAAAGATTTTCCTTTCGTTAAATTCGTAATTTCATGTCTTTTCCTTTTCACATAGTTAATTTTTAATGTTTTATTTTCCTTTCTTGTCTTTTAACACATATTATTCATCTCGACACAAGTCAACAGTGCCCTCGAGGCATATTACAGTGTCTCTGGCAGACATGCGCAACCCTTCGGCAAAATTCTCGTGCATCACGTAATATCGTAAGCCTTAAGAGCTGACAAAGTATGATGTATATTTAAAAAATGTTTAAACCTATCAATTATGCATTTTAAGATGTAACAAATACATAATTAACTAAAATATAACAGCAAGAAACAACTGCAAGCGCTATAGTTGATCAAGCAGCCAACAATACTACAGTCACTTACATATACTCCATGATGATAACTGTGCACCAATTTCAAAATAACTGTTGTTAAAGTAGAGTGTAAAATGAGCTCTTTCTAACGACTATACACATGTGTATGCAACACCTACATGTAGCCTACAAAGTTTAAACAAATCTGTTAAATATGGGCATGGCACCTGTCAGGGGTTGAATAAAGTTATTGCTTCTTTCAACTGTAATCATTCAGAAAATTTTGAAATGTGAGTAAAAAGGTTATGTAAGTATATTATAGTCTAGACATAATCTACACAACTGTCATTGTATTATTGAAGATACAGAGTACCTAGGTAGAAAATGTTCATAGCTCATTGGTCACATGACAATACAACTGAAGTCTTAAGTAGTTTTTAAAAGGTTTCTTTTGAAATAAAGGACTTGAAACAAAGATAATGTAAAAATTTGAACCATAACATACATTGTTATGTTAACTTAATTCACATAAATTGATAGTAAAGATGTTTAATTACGTTTTGAATGTAACACGGTGACTTGTGCAAAAAAGTGTTTAAAGAAGTACTCATGGTTAAATGGTTAAAGCATTAGCAAAACTTACATCAGGGCCTTCCTTCCATTCAGTGGCAGGTCTTACAAAGTGTTGATCAGTTCCTTCATTTACTGTCTTACTATGCCCTGTAAAAGAAAAGAAAAGAACTATAGCATTTCTATTCAGGTTTTATCTCTTTTAGTGTGGCAAAAGAGTCCTGAAAATGCAACATATGAAATAAAAATATAACATTAAATTAGTGTTTCTTGTGATTTTTACGTTACAATTAGTTAAGAAATGCATGGAA